GGTCCGATCTTGCTGGTTCGCGAACTCGTTTGAATAAATATAGGTTTACACACTTATACCAAATTTCAACAAAATCTGATCATTTTTGCTCGATTTATCGCGCTAACAGACACATAAATTATATGAATATATATATATTTATATATATATATAAACTAGCTGTGTGCCCGTTCTACGCACAGGGATATTATAGTAGTCAGTTGAAACCTTCTTATATAAAGAACAGCAGTTGGTTTGCATATTTTCAGATATGCTGTGTGACGCATAGCGGCACGCTATATTTTATATAGTGTAAGCATTTCGTGAAGCTGGGCTGCATGACCATCTCGTTACCTGCCGCGACTGCATTAACGCGCTATCCCCACCTCCCTTGACTCTTGTCCTCCCGTCCTTGCTCTTCCAGCCGCCGTTAAAGGTGCAGCAGAATTTTCTGGCCCTTCACAGTCTATTATGGATAAGTCTTTTACCATAACTATTTAGGACTAAAACTAGAAGTAATGTCTGGCTAAGTTCAGGAAACAAGCGGGGAGCCCTTCTGGCTCACCCGACAATTGAAATGAGGTAAATTAACTCTTATCTGAGATGGCTGCCTTCAGCAGCCATCCTTATCAAACCTGAAAATTGCAGTCACATGTTCCCAGAATGTAGGTTATTAGTTATCAATCAAATTCTTACATATTTCACATTCAGTATTCAATTTACGTACTATTCCATTTGCCTTGCAATATTTCTAAGTAATTATCCATGTTCAGTTCATAGTTGGAAGGATAGGTTAGTTAAGTTAGTGTAAATCAAAGCTGGCTAGGCAGGTGTTCTGATTTGGGTAAAGATCTCCGTCCCTCTGGTCCCCAGCAATCTTATTGGTAGGTAGCAGATTCAGCACGCTTCCACACAACCATACCGCTCCCATACAGCTACAGCTGGCAAAACTATCATACAAACCTTCGCAAATACAGTATCTGACAGTTTCAAGCTAAAAAAAATGCTTTATAGAACTACGAGGCACAGCCCTAAAGTAGGCCTATGATTGAAAGTTACTTTCCACAATGGTTTAAAGTAGTTAAAATACTACCTCAACCTCACCATTAAACATTCCGGTTGACATTTTCATTATCAAAGGTGCTCTTGTCCTTTCTGTAAAACACTGAGAAATAAGGACATTAATGCATTACCAACAGACATACACACAAATATATAGAATTTAATAATGGAATTTGCTACGCTTTAACCATAGCAAAGTACATATAAAGTTAGTATTTGCAATCTTTGTTAGTGTTATCAAACTTTGTCATAACAATTTATATTTGCTTAGTCCGAAGATGACCCGAAATGCTGTTGAAATGACGGCTTACTATATGAAATGAAGTACTAAATATGATTTAGATTGGTAATTTACAACACACAGTTCACAAACTATTGATACATAAAAGCGTAAACAATTCATGATGGTTTGCTCAACAAATGTTTTACTCAAATGTGTTATAATTTTTTTAGCACAAACTAACATTTTGGAATCCAGACAGAAAAAGCAAAACTTATACAGTAAGACATCAATTAAATTGAATACGACTGTAACAAATAAGGTGCAACACCAACGATAACTAATTTGTAAATAGTGATGTGTTGGTACGCAAAAATTATTCTTGCTGATAAGATAACACCGATTCTAAGGAAAAGAACCAGTACAAGAACCAACGTTTACAGTTAAGAACTATATTACAGTAGAACCTCTTTAATCCGAACCCCTGTAATCCGAACGTCCACTAATCCGAACGCTTCGTTGCTGTACTCTATACACAGTACAGTAGTTCTTTATTGTATAATGTATTTATTTATATACGCACCGTAATTATTTCAATTGTAATGTACACTACTGTTTATTCCCTATGTTCTCTACTGTATTATATAAACACTGTATTTTACTTTATAAAGCATTTTTCACTTTTCCCTAGCTATTGTTATGTAAAAACAACAATATGTTCTGTAATCCGAACTATTCAATACTCCGAACTACCCCCGGTCCCAATTGGTTCGGATTAAAGAGGTTCTACTGTACATCCGACCAATTAAATGCGTTAATCAAATCCCAAGGTTATTGATCTCTCTTGGTTTTGAATTTTCTCACAAAAAGTTATCGGAAATCAAAGCTATTTCCCATTACAGTAGACCCCCTCTTAATCGACCATAATGGGACCGGACCTAGGTCAGATAACTCATAAGGTCGATTAAAACGGGCAATCCCTAAAAACATAACATAAAAAATTGCTGTTCATTTGGAATTGAATTGTATAATCAATATTTTGAAGTCGTACTTTTTTTTTACTATTTATAAAATAAACTACATTTATCTAATTTTTTTGTATTGATAGAAAAGTCACAAGCACGTACAGTAAACACAAAACACGGTTACGTCAAATTACTTAAAGTGGAATAAATTATAGGTGTAGGCAAGGGTCAATAAAAATGATTATTTCAGTAACTTTACTACTGTAATATTAATTTATGCTTGTCAAATCTATGGTACGGTAATACAATACCGAAATTAAACATACACATACATACATTTACAACACACACATACACATACATTTTGTCGAAATTAAAGATACAAACAACCATTTTGTTACGAGACAAGGATGTTTATTTATAGCCTTTTACTGGAGGCTCGAGTGACAAAAACTATCTTGACCTTGAAGTCGTTAACCCCCCTGCCCTCCATACAAGTTGCGTTGTTTGTTAACTCTAGCAATAAGATAATCAGTTATAAAAATCTTAGCACACTTTACGATTTTATAAATTTACCGCACAGATAACAAACCAGATGTGCTCGCGCTACGAACAATGATAACAAACTGGCAATATGGAATATTTTTTGGGATAGGCCTAAATACAAAATGTTTTATCTTAGTCACAGGAGATAAGCGTATGGTTCCCATCACCGAGCGTGGGAGCGGAAATGCCGAGATTCATAGAAAGCGACGATTAAACCAAACTGCTCTCAAAGCAAGGTCGGTTAAAACAAACTGTAATATTTTACGATCAAGGGCGGATTATCCTATTATCGGTTAATGCGAGGTCGGTTATTAGGGGGTCTACTGTAATTGCATTATTTCTAAACAACTTTTAATGCAAACATATCGGTGACAGTTTGAAAAAAACAACCTTATCCAAACAACTTTTTGTTATTTAGTAGATGACGTATTCTCTAAACGATGTTTTGTATACCTAGTAAAAATTAGAAGGAAATGTGAAAAAAATCACACAATGTTGGGTTTTTAAAGTTTTTAATTTTTTTTCCTAAGTAGGTAGGGCTATCCTTTTTTATCGAGCTCAAACCTGGATTATGGATATAAACACGGAGAAAAAACTAATTTTTTTTTTAAATACAGTCCTGCGCAAAATCTTTGGCCCTACTAAAGAAGATGTATGGAGAAATAAACATAATCAGGAACTAAGAAACCTGTTCAAGGAGCCAGGTATAATTGCAGAGGCTAAAAGCAGCAGGCTTCGCTGGACGGGCGACATCATTAGAAGAGAGGAAACTAGCACACTTGATCAAATATGGAAAAGTGACCCACTGGGGAGAAGACCACGAGGGAAACCGAAGAAACGCTGGACAGATAAAGTAAAGAAAGATATGGCCAGGATGGAAGTCAATGAGGATACCGCAAGAGACAGGGTGACATGGAGGCAGTGTGTTGGTGAGGCCAAGTGCCACTTGGGGTACAAATAGCCATGGGAGTAAGTAAGTAGGTAGGCCATATATTCTAGGGAAAAGTACCGGTATCAAGGATCGTTGTCGAATAGGTTGTTATGAATAAATGGGTAGGCCTACATACCCAAGATATGGGCTATGGGCCCATTGGCTGTATGGTTCAGCACATAGCAGTGAGTAGAAACCGAGAGGGACACATTGGAAAAGCGAGTTTAGCATCATCCGTAATCCTCTGTTACAATCACCCACTGCAGTTGTGATTTTTTACTTTACACTTTACACAACTGTCCTTGAAGCGCCGCCAATGAGTGGAAACCTTGCTTGTAAGCTATTGGCGACGTTGATTTAATAAATGTAAGTTTCCCAGCCCTATACAACACTGATTCAAGATCTTTTTCCCGGTTATCAAAACTCAAGAACAATTGTATACACAAAGAATCTCTAATTTCATTTACGGTTACCCTACACATTATTGCACTTGTGATTAATTAAATACGTTATGTAAGGAAAATCGTTTTTAATCTCACTTGGTTTGGATTTGCTTTCAAAACGTGATCGGAAATGGTTACGGTATTTGTAAACAACATTTAATTTAAACATATCAGTGACAAAAATAGAAAAAATATTCTTGATCCGAACAGCTGTTCCTTATTTAATAGATGATTATGTGACAGACATTGGGAGAAAACTTGAAAAAAATCGCACGAAATTGGGTTTTTAAACGTCTGTCATTTTATTTACAAAGTAGTGAGGCCATATTTTAATGGCTAAAGACACTCTCGCCAATCCAGTGAACACATTAAAATGATTTGGATCTTGATAGGTACTCTCGTTTTCAGGAGAAGGCCACGTAAAATGCCTCTTGGGCCGTGACAGACAGACAGAAATAGAGATGAGACTTGTTTCGGCTTCTTTAATGTATAAAACGTAAAAATAACCTAAAAATTTTTAACTCTGAGCAATGTACAGACAAAATTCTTAATTTTATTTACATCGATATATATAGGCCAATATATATATAAATATATATATATATATATAAGTTTGAACGAATGGTGTTTTTAGCCTCTGGGGACCTCAAAAGGAAAAAGTAAATCGGTCCCGGGTCCAGGTCTTACCATGACACCTACAGTAATAGCTTATTCCGTATATGGGAAATTCGCTAATAAGACAAGAAAAAAATTAGTGGCACTTCTTTGGTAAGCTTTTACACCCACAGCTTCCTAAACTACAGTATAAATTTTGTTTTACTAATAAGAAACAAACATAATTTAGAACAACAAACCTTGTGAAGCCAATGAAAATGGCTTCTTTGTCAAATCTGGGCAGTTGACGATGCTGATGTCAACATTTTCAAAGTTTTTTGAGAGACCATCCTTCAAAGCTGAAACAAGAAAAAATTACATCGTTTTACGTATGATGAGTAATATTATTCGCTGTAGGTAGACCATTTCAGAAATGTTGGCATTTTTGAAACATCCTGCAGTGTTGCTTTTCAGGGTTTTAATTTCACAAAAACGGTCTGGAGGTAAAATAAACTAACAACTGAGTTAATCTTGTAGTATTAAATACCCCCGCCGCAGTAAACCTGCAGACTAAGCGAATTTCCATTTACCTGGCTGGATTTCTACTAAAATATACCCTCAAAATTGTCAGATTTATTTCCTATTTAAATACCGTAACATTAATTTTAATGAGTATCTAGGTTTGGTGCTACAGGGAAAGTATTGAGGTGTGTTTTTGTTGAAATGTTTATAGCTTAGAATAAAATAAAAAAAATTGCCAAATTTGATTAAAATATATCCATAAACAAGCAAACTACAACAGTTTATTTATTCTCCATAATAGTGGGGTCGTATAGCTGCATATAGTGGCAGAATATTTCAGTTCTGGCGGAGAGGCTGCAATTTTAGGTGGTTATAGTATACAAGTTTCTGAACCTAAAACCACCCAGACCCAAATTTTTAAGGACCTCGGTCGTCCGTAATGACGTCATCAAAATGGCGGCCGTAAGAGGATGCTGGGTCCCCATGAATTGGCTATAACGACCGAATGCCTGAACCGATTTTCATGAAATTTGGCACACAATATTGAATACATTATCTTGGCCTGGGTTGAAAATGGTCAAGTTCATCAAGTCATTTCAAAATGGCGGCCGTTAAAACCTAAAATTAAAAAAAAATCATTCAGTGTTTTGTGTTCTCAACTCCCTCCAGAGGTCTGCAGCAACCTATTCACTTTCCTTGCAATAAAAGGTTGCATTACAGTCTCTGCATTTCATGGAATAGGCAAAATACCCCCACCACAGCTAACCTGCAGATTAAGTGAGTTTCCATTTCCCTGATTTGATTTTCAATTAAATCAATTTCAATAACATTAGGTTTCATGAGTACCTAGGTTTGCTGCTACAAGGAGATTAATAAAGTGAGTTTTATTAATATATTAATAGCTTAGTTTAAAATAAATAAATTTGCCATGTTTCAAAAATGTAATCATAAACAAGCAAACTACAACAGTTATGTACTCTCCGTAATAATAACATAGGAGTTTTAAATTTACAATATTTTGAATTTTCTCCGTAACCAATAACCTCATAAAAACACTTCAATTCACTAAATTTTTGTTTGATTAAGATCTTCAAAATAGTTTAGAGAAAAATTAGGGAATTTCATGTTTTGAGGGTCAAACATGAGGTTCGAACATAAGAAAACCCAATTTTTACCCCTTAAATTACCCCAAAAACCCCGTTGCCCTGGTCCGATCACGCTGATTCGCGAACTTGTTGAAGAAACGTTGGTTTACACGTTTTTGCAAAATTTCATTAAGATCGGATAATTTTTGCTAACGGACACACGAATATACAGTATGTTCAAAAAAGGTAGGGACAAAGTTTACGAATTGATTCATTGGATCAAAATAAGAAGAACATAAAGAATAACATTTTTTTACAAAATCGCTTTGTTAATAGATATCCATCATTTTATATGTTTTTCATTAACATTTTATCCTTTATAACTTATATTGAAGATATTGGCAATTAATAATGAAATGTACCGGTATAATTAAATTTACAAGTTCAACAAGGCAAATAAATATAAAATAAAAAAAATTATTATATATTTAATTATACAATTCATTATTTTATGCTTTGATAATTTTGACTGAACTTTTATGAAAGTTGGTATTGATGTAAAGGTAGAAGATACCAATTAATTTTTTTATTCGAACCAGCATGATCGGACTATGGGAACAGGGATTTACAGGGGGGTTTTATAGGGTGAAATTTGGTTTTTCCCATTTTGGACCAAAAAACATAAGATTTAGCAATTTCTTTCCAAACCATATTGTGGAGCTAAAAAAAAAAAATTAATTTAGTATATTGAAGTGTCATTATGTGCCTAACACGGTAACCAAAAAAAATCAAAAAAATATTTAAACTTAAAATTCCCATGTTATTTATATGGAGAATAAGTAAACTGTTGTATTTTGCTTGTTTATGAACATATTTTGATCAAATTTGTAAAATTTATTCATTTCATACTAAACTATTACATTTTATAAAAAAATACATTTTTACCCTCCCTGTTGTAGCAAACCTAAGTATCCTAAGTATACTTAGGTTAGTAGTACTCGTTAAACAAATGCTATTTCAATGGGGAATAAATGAGGTATTTTTAAGGAGATATTTTTGAGTAAATCCAATCAGGCAAATGGAAATTCGCTAAGTCTGCAGGTTTGCTGCGGCGGGGGTATTATAAGGTAATTGGTTACGGAGAAAATTTAAAACATTGTAAATTTTAAATTCCCATGTTATTATTACTTATATATTATTACATATACTTATATGTTATTATAATACATGTAATATATTAATAAAAGCCGCAGCAAACCTGCAGACTAAGCGAATTTCAACTTGCCTGATTACATTTTTACTAAAATATTTCCATAAACAATAAGACATATTTATTCCCAATTTAAATAACATTAGATTTAACAAGAGCTTAGGTTTGCTGCTACGGGGAAGGTAAAAAGTGTTATTTGACCATATATCAATAGTATAGGATAAAATAAATAAATTTGCCAAATTTTATCAACATATATCCATACACAAGTAAACTACAACATTTTTTATTTTCTCCATAAGAATAACATGGGAATTTTAAATTACATTTTTTTTTTTTTTCTCCGTGACCGTTAGGCATAAAACAGCGCTTCAATATACCCAATTATTTCTTTTTTTAAGCTCTACAAAATAGTTGAGAAAGAAATTGCAAAAATTTGTATTTTTATGATTAAAAATGGGAAAAACCCGTTTTTAGCCCATAAAACCCCCCATAAACCCCTGTTCCCATGGTCCGATTATGCTGGTTCGCGAACTCGTTCGAATAAACGTAGGTTTGCACGTTTGTACCAAATTTCATCAAAATCGGATCATTTTTGCTCGAGTTATCGCACTAACGGACGTACATATATAAATATATATATATATACAGGGTGTATCAGAATTCGTGTCGGATATTTTAGGGTATTGTTCCTGGGTAAGAAACAAATCCAAATATCATTTTAAAATTGACCGGAAGTCCTTAGTTACTCACACAGCCGCCATTTTGTTTTTTTCACTTATTAATTGTTTTCTAAAAAATGGTAAGAGATAAAAAATTGAAATTTTGTAAAAACATTTATGACAACTAGACAAAGCTACAAAAAAATTATGAACATTTTTAAAATTCATAAAACAAAATGATGGCCATTTAAAATTTTGTTTCTTTAATTACTCAAAAACCGCTGAGTTAACAAAAAATTTACAAGGATAACATTTTTAAGATAATTTAATTACAAATCGATTGACATCTTAACCGTTAAGATTGGAAGAATATTAACTGAGTTATTAAAAATTTTTAATGGCCGCCATTTTGTTTTATGAATTTTAAAAATGTTCATAATTTTTTTGTAGCTTTGTCTAGTTGTCATAAATGTTTTTACAAAGTTTCAATTTTTTATCTCTTACCATTTTTTAGAAAACAATTAATAAGTGAAAAAAACAAAATGGCGGCTTTGTAAGTAACTAAGGACTTCCGGTCAATTTAAATATGATATTTGGATTTGTTTCTTACCCAGGAAGAATCTGGAGGGAGTTGAGAACACAAAACACTGAATGATTTTTATAAATTTTAGGTTTTAACGGCCGCCATATTTAAATGACTTGATAAAACTTGACCATTTTCAACCCAGGCCAAGATAATGTATTCAAGCACTTGTGTGCCAAACTTCATGAAAATCGGTTCAGGCATTCGGTCGTTATAGCCAATTCATGGGGACCCAGCATCCTCTTACGGCCGCCATTTTGATGACGTCATTACGGACGACCGAGGTCCTTAAAAATTGGGGTCTGGGCGGTTTTAGGTTCAGAAACTTGTATACTATAACCACCTAAAATTGCAGCCTCTCTGCCAGAACGAGAACTGAAATATTTTCCTGCTACCCAACCCGACTATAAGAATAACACGGGAATTTTAAATTTACAGTTTTTTTTTAGCGAATTTCCCATATAGGGAATAAGCTATTACCGTAGTACTCATGGTAAGACCTGGACATGGGACCGATTTTTTTTTTTTTTTTTTTGAGGTCCCTAGAGGCCAAAAACACCATCCGTTCAAATTCATATATATTTATATATATATATATTTATATATTTATATATATCTCTATATATACAGGGTGTCCCGGAACTGTCTACCAATAGTTTAGGGCATTGCTCCTGGGTAAGAAACATACCTAAATATCATATTTAAATTGTCCGGAAGTCCTTAGTTACTCACACAGCCGCCATTTTGTTTTTTTCCGTTATTAATTTTTTTCTAAAGAATGGTTAAACATACGAAATGGAAACTTTGCACAAACATTTATGACAACTAGACAAAGCTACAACAAAATTATGAAGATTTTTCAAATTCACAAAACAAACTGGCGGCTATTTTAAATTTTTATAAAATCAACTGTTTTTGATTTAATTAAGAAACAAAATTTTAAATGGCCGCCATTTTATTTTATGAATTTGAAGAATCGTCATAATTTTTTTGTAGCTTTTTCTAGTTGCCATTAATGTTTGTGCAAAGTTTCCATTTCGCATGTTAAACAAATCTTTAGAAAAAATTAATAACTGAAAAAAACAAAATAGCGGCTGTGTGAGTAACTAAGGACTTCCGGACAATTTGAATATGATATTTAGGTATGTTTCTTACCCAGGAGCAATGCCCTAAAATGTTGGTAGAGAGTTCCGGGACACCCTGTATATATATATATATTGTACATACAGGGTGTCACAAAAAAGTGTGATGGGCTATACAGGACCTAATTCTACATGCGAAAATAAGTCAAAAATGA